AACTCCACGGTAGCTGACACGTTGACCCTCATGTTCGTGTGTACGGTAGGCAGTGAATCGAGCTGTACTGAATGCTGATCCGACTGATGCTGGTATGTTGACCCGAGCGCGGGGGGTACCGGCTGCTATGTAGCACTGCTTATATAGAGGCAGGAGGTGGGTGGCTTGCTGCGAGGACCAACANTCTCCTCTCTCCTCTCTCCTCTCTCCTCTCTCCTCTCTCTCTCTTTCCTCTCTCTCTCTCTCCTTCGCTCTCCCTCCATCGCTCGTTCGCTATGCAAAGCTGATATGCAAAGCTATGAACTCCATTAAGTAATACTTTCGATTGGAGATATTTAAATCGATCTAGAGATGAGCTGAGATGAGAGGGCTGGTCATTGCGTCTGTACATGTGAAGCACACATACACACAAGCGTTTCAATAAAATATCATGCTAAATAAATACGAAATCTATTTACTACCAAAGTCTTAATGTTTCTCTACTCTTTTTCACCTATTATAGCCAACAAATAATAGTAGTTATATATAGTCAATGGCCGCGTGTGTGTTGTACGTGCGGGCTTGTTCTTGCTGCCAGTGACTGCATTTACCGCGATGGTACAGCACACTGCGCTGAGCGTGGGCTCTCCGCTCCTACATCTACCCTCTAGACCCACCCACCTTCCTTCCCGCGTCGACTAACCCCCCACACCCACACCCGGGCCAGGCAACCCCCCCCCTCCCGTGTATGACGAGCATTATTAAATTTGTATGACCCAATTCGGAGCGAATTACTGATTGAATATGAGTTTGCGTGGACGATGATGGGTGCGCAGCAGCAGCAGGTGGCGGCTGGCCGTACGTACGCATACGCAGAAGGAAAGAGAGCGAGAGAGCGAGAAAGACAGGCAGAGAGAGAGAGAGAAAGAGCGAGAGGGCGAGAGATGGAGAGAGAGAGAGCGAGAGCGAGAGCGAGAGAAACAGCGAGCGAGCGGGCGCGAGAGAGCGAAAGAAAAACGCGTGATATCTGCCTACAGTGAGTACTACAGTCGAAGTAGCTGCGATTCTGTGGGTGTTATCAGGAGTAGATAATATCCTCCTCCTATTATCTACTCCTGATGTTATCTGCCGCGGTAACCGGTCTGAGCTCGCTGGTGAGCTCACGTGAACTACTACTACTGCTGAGCAGGCGGACATCAGCTGCAACGCAGCAAGCAGACGACACGTTCTGCCGCGGGCTCTCGGCTGCGTGAAGGAACGATCGCCGGCAATGTCAGACGGCCTGCCGACCGTGACTGACACGCGCGCAGATGTCGCGATAGGGGTGTGACACGCGTGACATGGCTGTCACGATACCTGTGTGACACGCGTGACATAGCCGTCACGATATCGGTGTATGACACGCGTGACGTAGCTGTCACGATACCTGTGTGTGACGCGCGTGACATAGCCGTCACGATACCGGTGTGTGACACGCGTGACATAGCTGTCACGATAACGGTGTGGGACGCGCGTGACATGGCTGTCACGATACCTGTGTGACGCGCGTGACATAGCCGTCACGATAACGGTGTGGGACGCGCGTGACATGGCTGTCATGGTACCTGTGTGACGCGCGTGACATAGCTGTCACGATACCAGTGTGACGCGCGTGACATGGCTGTCATGGGTCACGCGCGTCACACAGGTAATAGCCGTCACGATATGGGTGTCACACGCGTGACAATACCGGCGTGACATCTCTATACTTTCCATCTTCACCTGCCCCCATCTCCACCCTCCCTCATCCCCACCTGCCCCCCATCCCCATCTGCCCATCCATCCCACCACCCC